AAAACTTTGCATTCTAAAATTTTTAAATTTTTATTAAGATAATGCATACAATTTAATTTACCAATTTCTTCAGCACTGGTACATGTGCTTGCCTTCATCTTGGCGTCTGAGGTTAAGGGACATCTAAACTGGACTCCATGTGCTGTATCTCCAGTGTTTGACTGTCGGAATCTACAGCCTGAGTTTGCCCAAAGTAGGGTCTTTCTTTTTGTCACTTCTATTTCTGCAACTGTTTCTTGTGATTTAGGATTTTTTAGGTTTTCTTCTTTCTTTTTTGGTGGCTCATGTTCTCTAAACATAGTTTTTAGGCCAGACACAACAGAAGTGTCCACTTTTCTTTCATTTTGACACTTAGGTTCATCAAAGTAACCTTGCCTTTAAATGAATTTGCATGAGTAACTCAGGCAACTGTTGTTTACTATCCTGGTACAGTTCTGTAGTCTTCATCCACAAATACTAAACACAAATCTACTCTTCCTAGTACCTTTTCCTTTCATTATGAAACCTTCACAGTTCTGCCATACTTGGAAAATATCAGTGTAAGTCATATGCAGGGACTTGGAACCAAGTCACCAAACATTTCCTCACAAGGAGGCTCAAGAAGTTAGAAGCACAAGCCATGGCCAGCTGGTGCTCAACCTCAGCTTTCCTGACCCTCTCAGCTGTACTGGCATCAAAAGATGCTGGTAGTTACCAACAGCATCTATGAGACAACAGCCTGCAAGCAGAAATCAACTTTGTTTTTGTGTATAATCTATGGCCAGCTTTTTTTTTTAAGTAGCTACTCATTAATGAGCAAAGAATAAAACCACCACCATTATACCCACATTTGGTGGCACACAGATCATTGCCCAACTGTTACACAAGATTTAGCCAGTTATCCCCTTTAGAAAGGACAGTTGCTATATCTTCCAAGTTAAGATCTATTCAGCTTTTATCACTGATTTCATAAACTACATGTAAAAATGAGATGGAGCAAAATCCTTATTTCTTAGCTGAGAACCTTTCACTAAGGATATAAATACCATAGCAAACAATTTATATCCAATAGTTGTTTTAAAAAGTTCTGTCTCCATTTCCCACCTCTTGATAGAGACATGTTGGGATTAGCCACAAACTACAGTGTCCAGCTTTTTACACAGCTCCTACAAATCCAAACTCAAGTCATCAGGCTTATTTCTCCAGCCTTCTAATGGCTTTTTAAATCATGTAACTCATTCCTTAAGTTTCTCAAACTCTTTAATTTTACAAAATGGTAGGGTTTTTTATTTTTCTGTATCATCAAATACCTTCGTTTTCTTTTCAGTAAATACTTATTTTGTATCTTTTCAACATTCCACAAAACTTTCTAAACATCTAATATTTTCAGTGTAAGATTTCCTTGGGGCTGGAAAGATGGCTTAGAGGGTAAAGGTACTTGGCCCTAAGCCAGATGACCTGAGTTCAACCCTTCACATGGTAGAGAAAACAAACTCTTAAGCTGTTCTCTGACCTCCATAGCTAGCATGCATGCACACACATACACACACATACACACACATGGGCACACACAATATAATAGTTTGTTGGGAGGGGGGGAGTCCACCCACTCTTTGGCAATGTCTCCAAAAAATATTAACTTTAGAAATCCTATTCCTGTGGATTCCCTGCTTTTGAGTAAACTCAGTATTGAATGAGAATTGATCACTCAGGTTCCTATTGGTTCTATAATACACTGACTATACCTATTCCTTTTCATGGTGTTTCCAGTTCAGAAAATATGTATACCTTTCTAAAATCTTGAGAAGTTACAACTAGCCAAAAACTAGTCAAACTGAAGCAGTAAAATTACATTGGTACTTACCAGAAAAGTAAAATCAGTGTCTGTTAGATTCTTTCCAACAATAAATAATATCTTAACTCTGCATGCAAATACCTTGAAAGTACTTATGAAAAAAAAACTAGAAACGATTCCTTAAATACTTTCTAAAAATCCTTTCAAGCACGCTACAAGAATATATAATTTTAAACATAGATGAGAATTCATATAAAAAGCTGACAGGATTTTGACCAAAAACAATTCAATGCCGTCTTTCTATACAACAGAACCTGATCTAAAGCCATGAATATCAAACCTATTAAAAATGTTTTTCAACAGTATGCTCTAAATTTTCAAACAATAATTTCATATGCATTTACAATGTATAACATATATTAGGTAGCAATTAGCATTAAAATCAGTCTGTTGGGAAAGTAGCTTGGACTGATAAACCAAACTAATTCCCTCTTTATTCACCTACTCAAATGTTGAGTATAATAGTATTTTTTAAGGATAATATAAAATAATATTTTGTTTTCACACCCAGAAAACTAAAATGCCTTTGACCCCTCCCAATGTTTATGTTACAAAATCCTGGAAAGTTATACACAGATCCCTAAATAAATGCAACAGCTTTATTTTAAATTATCAAATAATAAAAAATTATCAATTCTGAAAATAACCAACCAAGTAGTTAAAGCCATTAAAGTATAACAGTGACCTAACAGGACAAAAATTTTACTTTTGCAACTTTTATTAACATACAGTCATCCTCAAGGGTCACACCTGAAAATCTCTGAAATAAATTTCTAAGGCAATTTCCTAGTCTGTTTACACCACAACATTCCTGCAACCCTAGTCACTTTACAAAGGAAAATTTGCTTTAAACCTGATGGCTTATATTTGCAAGTGGCTCTATTAACTCTAAAGTTTCATCAATTACGGTATCTTAGATTACCATATATATCATAATTGTTATATGCACAATGGATTCTGCTTTAGAAATGTTAACTCATTCGCAGATTTCTGCTAAGATCCACAATACCTAACACAGTAAATGTTTTTTTATAGGCTGGACTCTGACAACAGAGACTTGGATGGAAGGGAGGACTTCCACAGTAGCATATACAGTGAGGACATGAGGCCAAAGTACCAGATCCCCAGCCAAAGGCATCCCAACACTTTACTAGCTTCCAGTATCACAAGACACATTTTCAAGGCAGAAAAGAAAATATTGGACTGGTAATGACTCTATACTGTCAGCACAATTCAACTTAATCTTTTTTTTTTTTTTTTTGGTTTTTCGAGACAGGGTTTCTCTTGTAGCTTTGCGCCTTTCCTGGAACTCACTTGGTAGCCCAGGCTGGCCTTGAACTCACAGAGATCCGCCTGGCTCTGCCTCCTGAGTACTGGGATTAAAGGCGTGCGCCACCACCACCCGGCTCAACTTAATCTTTAACCATTAAAATACTAGGATACTACTTCAGGATAGTATTTTAAGTCTGTTTTAATAAATTACACATGGAACAAATTGTATGTTTATGATGTGTTGTTTTGAAATACTTAAAAATCTTCGAGGAGCTGATGAGATGAATTGGTTGAAATGCTTGTTGGAGCTCAGGTCCCCAGAACCCACATCAAATGATAGGTGAGGCTGTAATTACAGCCTTGGAAAGCTGAGGCAGGGGATCTTTGCAAGAAGCTGATTAGCAAGGCTAGCTGCATCAGTGAATTCTGGATTCACTTAGAAATCCTGTCTCAAATCATAAAGTGAAAGAGTTAATTGAGGGAGATTCCTGACACCAAACCTTAAAGCCTCTACATGCACACACACACACACACACACACACACACACACACAGAACAAACATCTTTGATAATTAAACTGTTAAAATTAGTACATTGATGCTGGACATGGTGGTGTACACCTGAACCAGAACTTGGGAAGTTCAGACAGAACTGCTGCACATTTGAGACCATCACATGCTACACAGTGATACCCTGCTTTAAAATATCAGTAACAGTGATGATGATGTTTAAACAAACCATCAAGAGGTTAATTAATGCAATGCTGATCAAAGAAAAAAAGAGTTTTTACTATGAAACAGCTTGATTAAAACATGCTACCTATGTTTCAAGAAACCTGTCCTTGCTATAAAAGTGGCCAAAATAGTTTAATAATCCACAGCCTACTATGAATACTTTTCCTTCACTTTCTTTATAGGCAAAGTTTGAACATCTAATTTTTTATTTTGACAATCAAACTTTGTCACTTTGATAAAAAATTAAAATGAATTCTCAACTTCAGACATAGACTTGTTAAGGTGAAAGTGAAATGGAATGTATAAAATTAACTTTTGTTGATCTTAAAAGATAGGAGAGGGCCAGGTGGTGGTGGCACACACCTTTAATCCCAGTACTCAGGAGGCAGAGCCAGGCGGATCTCTGTGAGTGTTCGAGGCCAGCCTAGTCTACAACGTGAGATCCAGGACAGGCACCAAAACTACACAGAGAAACTCTGCCTCGAAAAACCAAAAAAAAAAAAATTTAGGAGAGGGGACCGATGAGATGGCTCGGCAGTGAAGGCACTTGTTCACAAGCATGGTGATGGGAGTTCAACACCAGGAATACACATGAAAGTGAAGGAGAGAGCCAACTTCACAAAGTGCACATGCACAGGCACACACACTCAAATAAAATAACAAATAAAAAAACTGATAGGAAGGAAATGTCTACCATATATTCCATGTAAGTAACCAAAAGTTTCACATAAGAATAAAGATGTTACCAAAAAAAAGGAATGAATACTTGAATAATTTGCAGTGTGTAACTATAAAAACTGCTAAAACGCAAAAATCCTTTTTTAATATTACCTATGATGAAATCAAATTAGAAATATATTAATTTGGATATCTATGCAAAGAAATTAAACTAAGCATGTAATATGTCAAAGTAAATGCTCTGTAAATTCCAACCACAAGCATAGAAAAGAGAATAAAAATGTGTTTCAATGAAAATCTGTGATGTTCTCAATATTTTGGGGTTTTTTTTTTTAAATGTAGTCTTATTTACCAGCCCAGGCCGGCCTGGAACTTGCAATCTTCCTGCCTCTGCCACCACCAAGTCTAGCTTAATAATCCCCAATTTTGCCACCTTGATATGGCTACTATACATATAACAATGCAACAGAAATAGCACAATCTCTGAGGACACATTCCGTATTTTATTTACATTTCAAGACTAACTTTAATCCCAAAATCACATATCCATACACCTATTTCTTTTTTGTTGACTTCACTTAAAACTTCTAAGCATGTTTTATTAAACAAAGACTGTAAACAAATATTTATCATGTCTGTTACATGTAACAAACGGGAACAGCTTTTAACAGAGATTCATCAATACCCCCTAAACATCTTTTTATTATAAATACAGGTATCAAAACAATCCTGAAGCTATTTTTGATGCTATAGCAGTCAGCACCCACACCCGCACTGCTTCAAGAGTGAACACAATTGTGACTACTCATTATACCTGCTACTTTAAACAGTTCACTGTGGTCTAAGGATGATGGATAAAGCATGCCAGTTCTGTTCTTCCTTCTTGAGACAAAGGTTTTCACTGCCATCTGACACTCCTTTGTCATGCTTTTGTCTTGAAAACCTGAATTCAATTTTGAATACTTCAGGCTCATGTTTAAATGACAGTGCTTTAAGAAGAGAAAGAAAAATTGTGCTGCACTTTTCTTGTTACCTGAAAACATAATAGGTGTACATATATTAAATATATTCTTACAATTGTCCAGGTCATGTTTACCAGCTGGAATTCTTTTACTTAATGTGTGGGTATTTTGCATGGTGATATTTAATCATGACATTAACATGAGTAGAAGGTTGTTGATTTAAGACAAGTTTGAGATCCACTAAAATCAGTTGTTGTACGTCTGTCCTTCCGGTGGCTGTGGAAGCTTCATATTTTCTTTGGACATCATTAGACGTCTTAGCTCTTGGAGTACAACTTTAATGCTATAGGAATTTTGCCATTTTGCTAAAACTGGTATGCTTCGTGCATCCACCTAAGAGGGCAGGAAAAGAGGGACAATTAACTACCAAACAAAATACTGCAGAACCAGAGCTAGACATGGTGAAGCACAATCCCAGCAGAGAAAAGAGGATCACAAGGTCAAGCTCCCCTGGGCTAGACATGGAAATTCTGTTTCACAGGAAACAAAATTAATAATAGTACTACTAATGATGATAATGTACTACTATGTACCAATATTTTAAATATACTTTAATAAGAATGCTATACTATGAAATTGCAGATTTAAAATGTATACTGTTAATATATTTTAAAACTATATATTTTAAAAATATTCTTTAACAAGATTTTCTAAAAATGTAGATTTAAGTCTATTTTTTGTATTTTACAATAAACATGTAGCAAACTTATTACCAGAATCATTATATGCATATAAATATATTAAATAACTACTTGGTAAACATTTATAAACCCTTCTTAATAATTAACGTGAGTAGAAGGTTGCTGATTGAAGACAAACTTTATATCTACTAACATTAGTCAGAACACTCTTTTCTATTTCCAATAAAAAGAGTTAAACTACTTCTACTTGCAGATGACATGATCTTGTACACAGACAACTGTAAGAATAGCATTAAAGAAACTACTGGAGGCCAGGAATGGTAGTGCACACCTTTAATGCCAGCATTCAGGAGGAAGAGACAGGTGGATCTCTGTGAGTTGGAGGCCAATCTGGCCTATACAGTGAGTTCCAGGCCAGCCAGGAATACAGAGCAAAACCCTACCTCAAAAACATGGAGAGAGGAACAAGAAGGGGGAAGGGATGAGAGGTGGAAGGAGAGAGGATGAGGGAGAGATAGAAGGGGGAAGACAGGGAGAGGGAAGGAGAAGGAGGAACAGGAGAAAAGAGAGGCAAAAGGGGAAGAGAGTGGGGAGAAGAAACTACTAAATCTAGTAAGTTCATAGTACCTGTGTTAAAAAAAAAAAGTTGCATCTCTGTATACCTGTAATGAATCTGAAAACTAAAATTAAGAAATTTTACAAATTAAAAAATTTACAATAGTAGGATCAAAAATAATAAGAACTATGCACCAGGAACTGAAATATTATTGATAAAAATGAAAGGCCTAAATATGTGTACACGGATCAGTAAGCAGTGAGCTTGGTGAGCTTCTGGTTTCTAGGCAGCTTGGTTCAGTTGATGTGGAGGCTTGTCATGGAGCAGCCATGCCACATGTCCTATCCACTCTCCTAAGCAGGCTCAGGATTCTAACCTAGCCACTAATACCTTCGAACATGAGCAGATTCCTTACTTACGTTGTACTTGTCTTCCTTGTAAGGCTTGATGAACATAAGTCTAAGTGTTCAGTAAACAAAACCTACAGGATTGCAGTCTAATTTCTAGAGAACAATGTAGCAGTATAAAGTGGAGATTTTTAAATATTCACTAAGAGTTTTCTGGGGTGGGGTGGTGGGGTGGGGATACAAAACTATATAGATGACACACATGAAATTTTTTTGAGAAAAAAAAATTTCAATGTGAGTATCTTATCACAAATTTATTTTACCCAATACAATACCATATGACCATTTTAAGAATAAATGTCTTCTATGGTACCAAAAAAAAAAAAAAAAAAAAAAAAGGAAAGAAGACTATTGGGAAGAAAGAGGACCAATGGATGGGAAGGAGAATGGAGAACAAGAGAGGTGATTAATGAAACCCACTGAGGGCTACCTAAAAACACTAAGAGAAAAAAAAAAAGGACTGCAAGATGAAGATTATGAAAAAATAACTGACGCTACATATATTACGATGACTGTAAAGAAATAACTAGGTGACATTCTTGCCACTTGGATGTATACAACTGTCCTTTTCTTAAATGTCCATGTCTCTCCCTTCCTTAACATTGATGCTTGACTCTGCAATGAAAACCTTTTCTTAGTAAACTGCTTCACACCAACTCATCCTGAAATTCTACTTTGTACCCAAGTCAAGAATGCCAGGCTTCATGGTGGGGACATGGCTCAATCTCTGAGTTCAATCCCTGACACCCAAGGCAAAAAGCAGTGTGTACCTGTATCCCACCACAGGGGTGGACAGAGGGCTAAAAGGCACTAGCCTAGCCACATCAGCAAACCTGATTCAGTAAATCGTTCAGAACAACTGTAAATGACAACCACTGCTTCAGTGAACATGCACGTTCACACAAACATAACCAATCGCCTCCCAGATGTAAAAAACATGATTGCCAGAATCATCTGAGGAGTCTCTAAAAAGAAATTCTCAGGGATGAACAGCCAGCACATTGAGCTTTTTTTGAGATTTACTTTTTGAAATTGTATGTGTGAGAGAGTAACATATTGTGTGTGTTCGCATGCGTGCCTATAGGCATGTGCACAAGCATGTACACATATGAATGCAAGTGTCCTTGTAGTAAAGAAGAGAGCATCAGATCCTCTAGAATTGAAGTGACAGGTGGTTGTTGAGTAGGTCCTTTGGAAAGGCAATACACATGCTTGTGCTGGATTGTTTTTATGTCAACAGCAGCTGGAGTCATCAGAGAAGGTATCTTAAGAAAATACTTCCATAGGATTGGCCTGTAGGCAAGCCTGTGGGACATTTTCTTGATTATTGATGTGAGATGGCCCAATTCACTGTAGGTAGTGTCACCCCTGGCCTGGTTGTCCTAAGTGAAATAAGAAAGCAGACTAAGAAGCAAACCAGTAAACAGCATTCCTCCATGGTCTCTGTATTAGCTCCTGCCTCCAGCTTCCTGTCCTGACTTCCTTCAAAGATGGACTGTATTCCTGTCTCCAGGTTCATGCCCTGACTTCCTTCAAAGATGGACTGTGCTCCTGCCTCCAGGTTCATGCCCTGACTTCCTTCAAAGATGGACTGTGTTCCTGCCTCCAGGTTCACGCCCTGACTTCCTTCAAAGATGGACTGTGTTCCTGCCTCCAGGTTCATGCCCTGACTTCCTTTAAAGATGGACTGTGTTCCTGCCTCCAGGTTCATGCCCTGACTTCCTTCAAAGATGGACTGTGTTCCTGCCTCCAGGTTCATGCCCTGACTTCCTTTAAAGATGGACTGTGTTCCTGCCTCCAGGTTCATGCCCTGACTTCCTTTAAAGATGGACTGTGTTCCTGCCTCCAGGTTCATGCCCTTACTTCCTTTAAAGATGGACTGTGTTCCTGCCTCCAGGTTCATGCACTGTTTGAGACCCTGCTCTAATTTCCCTCAGTGATAGACTGAGTGATATGAAACTAAAAGCTGAAATAAACCTTTCCTCCCCAAGCTGCTTTTGCTCCATGTTTTAACAAAGCAATAGAACTCTAACTAAGACAAAGCTCTTAATCACGGAGCCATCAATATCTCAGCCCCTTACACTGGTGTCTCCTGAAGAGACTGAAAATTCCCTGGTGACCTGTATAGTGAAATTCTGAAATAATGAAGAGTTTCCTTGACTGTTGCTTACCTATTTGGCTTTATTCTTCTAGCTTATATGTAACTTTCAATTCTTTGTTTTGTTTTGTTTCTGGCCAGAGACTTCCTTGTGTTTACCAAGTACTCCCAATGGAGAACTTAGGAATCCTCTTTCTCCAAACTTTAGATGAGGTGGGATAATCATGACTATTTATTTAGGAGTATATCACTTTAAGGACTGATCCAATATTCTAAACCACTCTCTTGACTGAGATCTAGGTTGAGGTGAACCAACCCTGGAGTGACTTCCACAGGAGAAAAATTCATCCAGCAGCACCATCTGGATCCAAAATACATTGGAAATGGCCTCTCCTATGGCACATGCTATGGAGCTATCACTTTTCTTCCTTAAGCACATTCTGTCACACTTGCAGTCTCATGGATAGGGAACCCTATCCATGCTCAACTCTTCCCCAAAACATTTGCCACCTTCCTTTCATACCCTCAAACTTTTCTCCTTCTGAGAACCTCTCATTTCCATAACTAGCACAATCATCTTGACTAGCTACAGAATTACCTAGGAGACACACCTCTTGGTGTGGCTGTGAGAATTTCTAGATTGGGGTAAGAGAGGTGGAAAGACCTACCCTAAATGTGGGTGGCACCATTCCATGTGCTGAAGTCCTGAGCTGAATAAAAAGGACAAAACAAGATAAATGCCAGCACTTATTTCTCTGCTTCCTGACTGCAATGTGACTAGCTGCCTCATGCTCAGGTTGCCTACTTACCTTACTTGACCTTTCTTGGCTGTATCCCTAAACTACAGGCCAAAATAAAGCCTTGCTCCCTTAAGTTGTTTGGTCAATGTGATAGTCTGAATGAGGATGGCCTATATAGGCTCATACAGTCAAATATTTAGTCACCACCAGTTAGTGGAACTGTTTGAGAAGTGCTACGAGGTGTGACCTTGTTGGAATAGGTATGGCCTTGTTGGAAGGGGTGTATCACTGGGATTGGGCTTTAACATTTCCAAAGTCCATGCCATTTTGTCTCTCTGCCTACAGATCAGTGCTCAGCTATTGCTCCAGCACCATGCCTGTCCACTTCCTACCATGATGACCATGAACTAACCCACCAAAACTATTGAGTAAGCCCCCAATTAAATGTTTCCTTTCATAAGAGTTGCCTTGTCATGATATCTCATCATTATCAACAGAACAGTAAGACAGGAATTGGGGTGGGGAAGGGTGCCTCTAAAATTTACAATCTATAGGGTTTTATTTCATGAGAGTTTAAGAACCCAGCTATTTTGTGTATCTAATGTTTAAAAGAACTATTACCAAAGTAGGCAATATGCTTTGTCTACTCAGAAAGCTCAACCAGGGATAATTGAAGTAATGCAGAACAAGGCAGTAAATGTCTACTTCTAGCAAGGAACCCAGTGAGCATGCATCTCGACTGTAAATACAACACAGGCCAGTAATGCATTATGTAGAATTCATTTAGAGTTTTACTTTTCTTCTTCTTCTCACCCTTTTTCCTTTAGGTACACAGAGAATATACAGAATATAATTATAAGTTGGAAATTTTAGAAATAAGACCTAAAGATGGAATTACAGGAGTAATTTCCATGTATAGGGGTATCTTTTCTGTTATTAGCTCTAAATAGAAAATGCATCTTGTTTAGCAGGTCTCACAGTCTGTTCAGCTTTTATTTAAGCTCTTCTCAATGATGTTTAGGTTAATCCATGTCTTCAACACATGAACTTTCAATGTTGTTTCTAGAAAGTTGTACAATTACTTCTACCATTACAAGTCTAAGTTTAGGATTAAGGATTGCTTACTACTATGGACAGATAAGTAGCCTAAGGAAAGAAAAAAAAAAAACTTGCATGCTAAACCTAAACAAAAGCCACAAACTATAACTGTGGATATATACAAATCATGTGTGTTTACATATATATAGTTATTAAAACAAACTAGCTTGTGTTTCATGTAAACTGAAACCACTCAACCCAAATTCTTTTTAGCTCATAGATGTATTGTTTTGCATAGGGTCTCTCATGTGATCCAGGCTAGTTTTAAACTTGCTATGTAGCTGAGGGTAACCTTGAATTCCTTGAAGTGCCTCTATCTCCAAGTGCTAGGATTATAGGTATCTGCCACCACACACCCAGTTTAAATCCTTTTGTTTAAAGATATACTTTAGGTATATGTATATGTGTGTATGAGAGAGAGCTTGAGAGCACCAACAGTACACACGTAAGGAAGGACAACTTTCAGTACTAGATTCTCCGTTATTTCTGTTGCTGTGCTGTTTATGCAAGTTTCTAGCCATTTCCCCACATGCCTTAGGATGCTGGGATTACAGATCTGGACCACCACACCAGTCATTTTTTTCAGTGTGGGCTCCAGAGATCGAACTCTGGTCATCAGTATGGATCAGCAAGTGCTTTCAGCTACTGAGCCATCTCACTGCCCATCCCCCCATCCCCTACTCAACACATTTTAAGCAAGTTCAAATTTGTCAGTAGGGAAAAACATAATGTCTCCAAGACTATTAACAAATATTTTGTCTGTGCTTATTTTTATAACTGTTAGATATTAAAATAAGATGTTCAATGTTTTGTTTAAAATTCAGCTAATTGGGTTTTTATTAAAATTACTTAGTAGAAAAAAATAATTTTTCTCAATTTAAAATTTTTATGTAGGTGCTAGAGAGATGCTCAGCAGATATTGGCTGCTCTTGGAGAAAATCAGGGTTCAATTTCTAGTATAAGAAATATTAAATATTAGTCTTTTCTGTCAAATACTCTAAAACTTAGTTTATAACAAGGAATTCAAATATTTTTGTATCTCCCATATTTATGAAAATATTTTAATGTCCCCATACACATATCTGACAAAAATCTGCATTCATACAAATGCTGCATTCTCAGTGACTTAAGTGGCCTTATCCTTCCATTTTCCTTCATTTCCTTTGCTCCAATTTCAAATAGCTCCTGAATAACCCTAAGTATTCAGCCATGCTTTGAAGCACTGGGATGAGTATGCAAGTTTTCCCTTCATTATTGGTTTTTTTGTAAGTTTCTATGAAGAACATAAGTTGGGTTTTGTGTGTGTGTGTGTGTGTGTGTGTGTGTGTGTGTGTGTGTGTGTGTGTGTGTGTTTTTAATTGAAACAAATGGATCAAAAGGCAAGGTTTCCAAAGCTGACTGAAGTTCATGAGCCACTTCCTAGCTGAGCTTTAGTAAATGAAACTGAAAGTAAAAAGTGAGTTTTCCGTAGGGCATAAGATATGCTTTAAGGCCACTGCTGTTAAAAGCAGACCCACAGAGGCAATGTCAATCATGCCTCAGGCTTACAGAAATAAGACCAATAGCCCAAATTTTACAACTAGGTGCACTCCTACCCCAAAAATTTGAACTAGCATTTTGTCTATCTTTTTATTTCATTTTTCTAGTAATTTTTCTAGTGTTTCATAAAAGTACAGACATAACAGATTAGAACCAAATAAGTAAACAAATGAACGCCATACTGAACAGCACAGCCTTAAGGTACAAAACACTGTGTAAAAATATTCACTACAAAGCACCCGTCGCCAAGCCTGTCAACCTGAGTTGCAGGAAACTACATAACAGAAAGAAAACTCTGACTTTTAGCTGTCCTCTTGACGGTGGCCCAAGTGTGCACTCATACATACACACACACACAATATATATATATATATATATATATATATATATATATATATATATATATATATATGCAAAAACTTAACACTCATTGCAGCAAATTTTTCAGTGAAAACTTGAAATAACCTAATTGCTCAGCAAGTGGTGTGAAAAATTTTAAACATTGAAAATGAGAAATCCAATTTTTATAGTTCAATATGAAGTATCTCAAATGGGCATGTTCATTATAACAAAGTGAGATATGTATTCATACATGCAGGCTTGCATAAAGTAAACACAGTACTATGCACAGAAACGACACCTACTAAATAGAAGAGAAGGTTACATCTTGGGCCAAAGCCAAAGAATTATAAAGCACAACTGATACAATTTAGATTTTAGTCTGATGCTCTACTTCACTGTAGCTTCTGGCCAGTCATTTTATCAAAAAGTCACAATTTTGGTTTTAAAATCTGTTTTGAAACAAAACAACAGTGATTATTATCCTGGCTACTTGCTCTGTAAAGATTGTGGGAAGCAGGATATAATGGCTCTTCTGGTGGAGGATTCCACTGTGGAAGAAGGAGAGACCTGACTCCCAGAAAGTTGTCCTCTGCCTTCTACATGAGCACACCTTCACTTTCACATACTTTGTGCTGGTTAATTTTTGTAAATTTTAAACAAACTAGAGACATCTGGGAAGGGAGAACCTCAACTAAGGAACTGCCTCTACCAGACTGGCCTGTGGGCAAGTCTATGGGACATTTTCTTAATTGCTAACTACTATCATGTGCAGTGTCCTCTTGGGCAAGTTGGCCTGGGCTATGTAAGAAAGGTATCTGAGCATGCCAGAAGAGATGAACCAGTAAGGAGTATTCTTCCATGGTTCTATTGTAGTTCTTACCTTGAGCTCCTGCCCTGATTTCTCTGTGATAAACTGTTTCCTGGAAGTGTAAAATGAAATCAGATCCTTTATTCCCCAAGGAAGGCTTGCGGCATAATGGTGGTACAACTCTGGCTCCCAAGTTAGTTTTAGACCAGCAAGGACTGCTATTTCCCAGACCTTCCCCTTTGTGCCAATTAGCCAATCTCCTCAGGTGTGGAGACGAGCACCCACCAATAGGATAAGACATAGTTACCACCTACGTCAAGAATAAAAGGTGAAAAATATCTTGCCCATGTATGCTTGCTAGCAAGGTTTGGATTCTGTTGTAGCATTTGTGCAGAAAGAATGGCACTGCCCAGCTACTTTTGTTTTGTTCACATGTACCTTTGTACAACACCAAAATTATTCTTTGTTTCTAACAGTATTAACATAAACTTGTGACTTTTAATAATAGAAGAAAAGAGAAGCAAGAAAGAATGAATGTGTACATACATAAAATATTGGTGGGGAGAGGGAACACAGACACAGAAGGAATAAACAATACACAAAGCCAAGAATGTTGACAGTCTTCCTTCCTAGGAGGGATGAAGTTCATCCCTATGCTGATGCTATTTTGTTCCCTAACATATACTCCAAATTCAGTGTGCTTTCAACATAGCATCTTAGTATGAACCTAACCAACAATCTACTAACAGTACAAAGTCAGCTACCTACTAACTTATATGGGTCAGGACAACTTATTCTTTTTGTTATCCACTTTAATGTGTCAACCACACTTAGCCATGTATAATCAAATAGACACTTATTCCTCAAAGAAAAACACTTCATGAATATTCATCCTTTTAATCTCAAAAAGTACCTTACCTCTAAAGAAAGAAATAATTAAAGAATAGTAAGTCTTTTCATCTAGCAAATTTATTCAAACTAAGATTATTGATGTAATTAATAAAATTCTAAGAAAAAAATGTTATTTTTGACACCTGAAGATTTTAAAGATAGGCCTGGTGGCTTAATGCTTATATTCCTGGCACTCAGAAGGCTGAAACAGGAGGATTGATTCAAGTTCAAGGCTAGCCTGGAGCTAGCTACAATGTGACATTATATCTTGAAGGCAGAGAAAAAAATGAAAAACAACATAAGACAAGCTTCTTTTTTTTTTTTTTTTTTTGGTGAGAGTCAACTATGTAGCCCAGGCTGGCCTCAAACTCCCGAACATCCTGCCTCTACCTCCTGAATGATAAACTTCTTTAGTCTTTCAACTGAACAACACTTTCAAAACTCCTGCCTACATATTATATGCTATATAAAAATAAAATTATTACCATAACTTACCATTCCACTAGAATTATTGATTCCATTCATATTAATTTTTGTTACAAATCTAACTGATGGAGGAGCTTCTGGGTATTTAGATCCACATTCTACTTTCAGGCTATATATTCTGTTTTCATAGTTTGTCTGGAAAGAGGGAAAAGAAAGGATGATCATGACAAAAACTAAAATACTGCCCAACTGGTAATAAAGAAAAATGTAGTATGAATATACTTGTCATGATGATGTTTATGATTGTATACAAACTTCTGTGCGAAGTTATTTGAACTAGTTAGGAAAATGCACCAAGCATACTTATAGTATGAAACTAAAATAATCCTACCAAGTAGAATCAGATTAATCAGAACTTACTTTTTGTGACACAAATGTTGCCAATAACAGAAAGAAAAACCAACTTAAATTTAGATTTTGCTTTAAAAAAAAAAGGTATACTGAAAGGACAAGTATGTGGCTTATATCACACATACATAACGGTTTTCACCATCCAGAACAATCTCATTGGTTTCTATCATTTCAATAATATTAATGATGCATCTTTTTATTCTCACATGGATTTGTTGGATAAAAAATTATGATTACTTTTCACAGATAGGAAGCAATTACTTCTAGCAAAGGAAAATCCTAACATACTTTATCTTACAACAATAAAACAATTTGTTTTCTGTTACTTTAATAAATTCTGTGGTTTATTAACTCCATTAGCTGAATTAATGTATACTTTATATTTACACATTTTTAAACATGGTTTCTAATTAATGAAGTTTAGCTAATACTATATTCTTATAATACAGGAATTTTAAAGCTATAACTTATACATCAAGGCTATTAAGGGCTTATTCTCATATAATGATTAGCTTTTCTTTCTCATTATAGCTTTTGTTCACTTACCAGTACAGTTCTGAAACAGGAAATTACATAATAAATGAATGTAGCAAATGTAATACCTACTGATGTTTGTATAAAATATAAAACTAGGGAGAAAATAAGCCATGATAACAACACAGAGCTTATTCCAACATTTAGCTTTGATAAATAAGAGCTATTATCATGTGGAGTTCTGATATGCAACATTAAACTACTGTAATATAAAATTATGAAACAATCTGATACTTGTTATTAAATACTTCAATATTTTGAAAGAGCTCTACAAAACTCACCCAAATTTGACAGCTAACAGTCATACACCCAGCAATTTGGTGCTATATAAAATTGAGCGAAATCAAACAGTTCTCAAGAGAGAATCTTTTTCGTGGTTCTCCAATTTGAATGCAGATCAGATTATCTAAAGAAATTATATTAAAAAGAAAAAACAAAACAAAAAATTCCAGGCATAGTGGTAAGATTGTAATCCAAGCATTAGGGAAGCTGAAGCAAGAGGATCACTTCAAGTCTGAAATCAGCCTGGGCTACACAGCAAGACCCTGCCCCTCAAAAACCAAACAAACAAACAAAAATGAACAAAAGCAGGTCCTTCTCTTCTCTCCTGAATCAGATCACAAAACTTGGCAGGCATACCCTAAAGCAGGCCATTAAACCTCATCCTTACAACCAGAAAACAAGGAAATTTTTCATCTCCAAAAAGACAGGGATAGAGAAAAATCTAATAGATCTTGTTCGGTGCCCTCACTCTTGTTCAGTACTGCTGGATCAGGCTCTCTTTTTGCAACCATACTCCAGATTGTGCACTCTTAAGGGAGTAGTGTAAAATTCTATAAAGCCTACCTTGTCATGTAAAACTCTAAAGAAATAAATGTGCATTATACACCTCAGTCATAACCCTTTAAGGTAAAGAAAGGTAGCACTCCACACACACACACACACACACACACACACACACACACACACACACACACACACAACTCCAATGCAGTGACCCATAGAGAAGGCCCATGACATCTCTGCCTGTGTCTCAGGGAACTAAGAGCAGGAGCTACACAAATAGCCTTTAGCTCCAATTGGATAAGGGCAGGACTTGCTATTTCCTGTGTGTCATATGACACCAGGAAAAGCAAGTAGCTTAGGAATCCCACTGGGGACCCAAATGAAGAAAAATAAAGTAGGAGTTACAGCATTTCCTCCCCACCGAGAAACTATGCTAAGAGTCTGTATTCAAGACCACTGATAAATTCAGATATAAAGTCTACTGAGGTTAATGGCTGAAGAAAAACCTAACCTAAATAATTTCAAATTTATATTTTACCAAGTTTTGACTTAAATCTTCAAACCAGTCTATGCCAGAATGTTACAACTACTTGCTTTTAATTTTCTTTTAGCTAAACTATCATAATAATATTTACCGACAGTGAAAAAAAATCAGTTTTCATCACAAATACCAAGTTATAAAGTCTTTTAACCATCAATCTTATATTTCCTTTCTCAGATGTCTTATGGAAGAATCAGAGCACAAGTCAGAAGGAGACTTTCAAGAGTGCACATGAAGTCTACAAGCTGTGTACTCTTAACAGACTTGGTATAAAAGGACTGCAAAGGAACACCAGCAAATGCCATAAAACACACTTGTCTAACATTGCTAACTACAGGAAACATTTTTTTGATAACCAGGAAAAAGTCAAAATTCTATCCAAACAGAACACATAAAATTCTTTCATCAGAAGGTAAGAGAGAAAAAATTGGGCCTCATGGAAGAGACCATAGTCCTAAACTACTCAGAAGCCTGAACTAGCAGGACTAAAGTACAAAGTCTACCTAGCCCACAGAGTGAGCCTCACAGCCAGCCTGGAGGATTCAAAGACTGGGTCTCAGAAAAAAAGTAAGAGTCTGGGGATACAGCTCAGTGGTAATAAACTTGTCAAGCACATGCAATGCCTTAGGTTCAATCCCAGTATCACAATAAACAAGCAAACAAATAAATAAATCTTCCAATTTTGTATTTTCCCAGGAAGTCACAACATTAAATAACACCCATTTCAATGCACTGCATGAGACCACTGAATAAATAATACACTGTAGGAAAACCTATCTCCATCTGGGAAAAAAATATGTTAAAAAAAAAAAAAAAAAAAACTTCACACAATCCTGAGAAAGACCTAAGAACAAATGCACAAGAGATCAATAACAATACTAGAAAATATTTAAGATTCTTAGCCAGGCAGTGTTGGTGCACACCTTTAATCCCACACTTAGGAGGCAGGTGGATCTCTGTGAGTCTGAGGCCAGCCTGGTCTACAGAGTGAGTTCCAGGACAGCTGGGACTACACAGAGAAATCCTATCTCAAAGGGGAAAAAAAAATCCTATTTTGTTTTATTGTTGCTGAAAAACCCATGTGATAAGCATATTAACTTCACATGTTCTACCACTGAACTACCTACCTCCAGAAAAGTCTTAGATTTACTGCTATATTTTGTAAATTAGGGCATTAAGTAAGACCTACAATATCCCACCCAGGCCTGCGAAACAGAGGGCACGGCAATGTGCAAGCCAATCTAGAGATCTTCAGTCACATAAGAGAGCAGGCAATATGTGACATACACTTCCAAATATCCCCTCCATGTCCTCCCTTTTCTTCCTCTCTGATATGGAATATTTTCCATCCCATCTCAACCTTCAGAAATCCTAACAATCAGTCTTTTAATGGCCCATTCCAAAGGCAACTTCCTCCTCTGTTCAGCCTTCCTCAATTTATTCCAGTAGAAGAACCATGATAAACTTGCTCAGCCATATTAGAATCTAACACTTGGACTGATTTTTTTTTTTTTTCTCTACTAAAACACAAGCACTTTGAGGGCAACAACCATGCCACTCCTCCTCCACCCCAGTCCTCTTGCTAATCAAGCTTATACCCTTCAAAAAAGAGGTATCAATAAATAAATATATATAGAATATACAAAAAATGCAGGAATTCTTCCTGTCAAAAGTTATCACATTTGTCTTTTATTACAATAAAATTAAAATGTTCACTCAAAATAAACAATAAATAGTAACAGTAAACATGTATAATTTATAGCACTGACCCTTGGTGGCCCAATAATCATGCCTGTCCACCTTGTAAGTGTCATGTCTTCATCATCTTCAAGGCCCCAGCTAACCGTACCATCACCTACTCCTTTCTGTCCTTCTTCAAGTTCTTCCAACAAGCGAAAATTCCGAGGAACTTTAACTCCTATACAAAAGAATGTCAGTGTCAACGAGATACATGGTTTTTTGTTGTTTGTTTTGTTGGGCTTTTTTTTTTTTTGGTTCTTTTGAGACAGGGCTTCTCTATGTAACCTTGGCTGTCCTGGAACTCACTCTGTAGATCAGGCTGGCCTCAAACTCAGTGATCCACCTGCTTCTGCCTCCCAAGTGCTGGGATTAAAGGCATGAGCCACCACCATCCAGCACAAGATATATAATTAAGCCTTTTGTAGATTAGTTTTAGTTTTCACAAATTATTTCACCCAAAGGCAAATTTCCCTCAAAAAAGTATTGTGCCTCAGGAAATATCTGGCCTAATAGTCTCTTAAAATGAAAATGCCAGTTGGTGTCAATTGCAAATAGCTTCTTGGTAGGTGGAACTTTGTGTCCACTTCCCCTTCTCAGTGCTGGGATTTTGTCTGGTTTGAACCCTAACAGGTCATGTACATGTATTCTCTGTGAGTCCCTACGTGTCAGTTTTCTCTAATGGCATCTTACTGCATGGTCACTGGATATATCGACCACACTCCAGGGAGGCGCCGTGCCCAGCACAAAACACACTCCATTTTCGTGTGTGGGTAGGCTTTTTGTGTTCTTTTGTTATTTTTTGCCTTATTGGTTTTTTGGTTTGATTTTCAAATTTGTTTTGTTTTTGGTTTTTGTGAGAAAGAGAGAGAAAGAGACAGACAGACAGAGAAAACGTGATAACAGGCAGGGGTGGGGAAGATATGGGGAGAAGAATATGATCAAAACATACAGTATGAAAAAATATTTTTAACGAAAATGCCACTAGAAAGCGTTGTGTCAAACTTTATCAACATTACTGAACATGTATATAAATTCCTACTCAATTTTATACTGGCATGTATCAATTATGAGGAAACTATCATAAAATGAACATTTTCCCCTAGCTGAAGTTCTTAGCCAAGGACCCTAACATAAAATTAATGGGCAAAACCAGACACTTCAATTAACAATATACACACTCCAATAATTTTTTTTATGAGAATTTCATTCAATCTTAGAAAATGCAACAAAAAGTTAGGGTTTTCTAGAATACTGAGGTGGACCACCCATGGTCCCAGTAGTTAGGGCTCCTGTCCCTGATCAAAGGAGCCCTACATCTGCCAGATAATCCCCATCACTCAAGTATTACCTAGGGCCTCAAGTACCCCACACAAACACACTACTACTGAACTATGCTCCCAGCCCTATAAAGCTTTGAAAAACAAAAACTTTGCAATTAAATTACAGTCATCATCTACAGAGACAATTTATACAAATGCTAGTTTAATGGTAAATTTTTAATTCACAGAGAAAAAAACCATCAGATAAGACTATCCTGGTGGTGGTTGCATATACCTTTAATCCCAGCACTTGGGTGGCAGAGGCAGGTGGATCTCTGAGTTCAAGGCCAGCCTGGTCTACAGAGAGAGTTCCAGGACAGCCAAGGCTACACAGAAACTCTGTCTCAGAAAAAAAAACAAACAAACAAAAAACAAAATAAGCAAAAACAAAAGAAGAGGAGGAGGAGAAAACTATACTGATTATCTTGTTAAAATGAAGTCACTAGGACAGCAATTTAACTTTAGTTTCCAAAATAAGTATTACAAAAACATAGCTAACATTAAATATATACTTATTTGTGTTTTCCTTTATTTTGAAAGTGGGTTTCACTATGTAGCTCTGGCTAGCCTGGAACTCACTATTTTAAATTGACATGTTTCGTTCATAGATGAGAAGAGAAGCATTTTAAATGTAATACATTCGCCCCCAAGAGTGACTCTTAATAGATTTATAACTACCTCTTTACACTCTAAAATGGCATCAACTATATGAGTCCAAATAAAATACTACAATTAAACTGTAAGATGTATGCCAGATACTAAAATATGACCTAGAACTGAACTAGACAAAATGCAAAAAACAAAATTCAAATCAAACTTTGAACATTTGATGCATCTTTACTATAGCTTCAACCAGGAGTCAAAAGACCTCCAATTTAGATGACTTGCTAAGTTCCTGATACCATCGTATGAGTCATGTGTTATATAGAGAGAAGAATTAATCACACGGTTGTTACTCTTTTATGTGACGACCAGAAAGACTCTGACCATCTTTCCCCGACCCACCCTAAAACTACATGGATTATTCATTCACAAATCTGTTTGCTACATATTAATACCACTAGATAAAGAGGAAATAAGCCTCGATTATGTGGATGAATTTGGACATAACATACTTTTCGGATTTTATCACTTCAGAAAGGTAAACTAAAAGCAGCAAAATATCATCATGTAAGATTGTACTTGAGAAACTTACTTTCTCAGTCTTAAGTCACTGGCATAGAGCCAATAACACCAGAAATGATGACAACACAATAGGTACCCAGTGTAAAAATTTGCTGAACTTACAGCAAATGCTTTTATTCTCACAATATTTGTGAATCAACATAAACCAAGTGCTGCTGAGACTGAACACTCAGAGGCAAAATGCTTCTCCCTAAGATCTTAAAACCCAATGATAAAATCAGGTAATGGATTTGTTCAAATACAAAGCATCAAGTTGTCTGTATATGCTATAGATGTTGCAAGGAAATAGACAAGCTCAAGGTAGAACATGCTCCAGTAAAGCAGCTAACTATGAAGCAAGTGCTTTCCTTAAAATAAAGTAGGGGGTACAGGCAAGTAACAACACATTCTGGCTTCTCTCTTCTAGTTTTAATTTCTCAGTAAAATTAGGAATGGCACATACTTTAAAAGATAGATGTGTGGTCTTCTGACAAAGACCACTAACTGGTGACAACTACTCTCCTGTGTAATCCAGGAAGTTGTAGTTAACTTCCATAATCAGAAGCCTGAATAAAACAAAATAAACAGCTATTCCTTCAAAGCACTGTTAATAAGGTGAACATTTCAAAAAAAAATAAATTAAGACTTTTCAAAAACAAGCATTTCCTCTAGGGAAATTACCTCTTGTCCACACTGTTTGGTAAACAGCAGCTGGTAATTTGGGTGGATGATACTAGCACAAACAACAGTATTACCAACCTGTGCATTGTTTGTACTTTTAGTAACATTTCAGTCCTTACACTGAAAGACCTAGGGCACAATTACAGTATCTCCACAGAATAGAAGGCTTGCAACATTCCTGACTATTAGCTACAATACTTTTTTAATGTGAGGTTAAACTTCAAGTCTTAAGATGAAATCAGACTCCTGCCACTCTGTCACATGGCATTCATGTACAACCAATCTAACAAAGTCATCAATTAGAAAACAAAGGGCAAGCTAGGCAATAAAGCACGTATCAAGTCACTGTCTACACAGGGCTCTAGAGATGACACCCACACCAAAAAGGAGGACGACAAACACACTGGCTGGGAGGAATGGGCAGAGTAACAGCTTTATCCCTGAAGCAAGACAACAGAGGGAAAGGATGGCCCTGGCCCTAAGAATAGCAGCAAGCACTCAAGAGTTCAAAAGCCTGGGTTCTCAGAGGGACAGAAGCATAACCCAGACTCTCCAGAGGTCAGTACCTCCTTCCATCATAGAGCAGAACCACTGGGCAGTGGGAAAAGAGGGCAATGAAAGTGATACCTAAGCATGAGCACAAGTTCTCAACAGAAGGGAAACAGGAGAAAATGCAAACAGGGATGGGGTTCAGAAAGCTAAGCTCAAACACATTCTAGTTTGGCAGACTTGGAAGCAGCAGTAGGAATTGAGAGAAGTCCCACAAGCATAAAAAGGTGCAATGCTTATGCAAGCAGGAGGGCTCTCTGCACAGTTGATTTGAAAATTAACTGTGCTTTTTAAATGTAATCAAATGTAGTTCTTTTGTTACTATATCTATGTATCATTTTAAGTGAAGGCAAGTAACAAAAAATGGGAAAAATCCTTGCAAAGTATATTATATAAAAAGAAATTTCTATCTAGAATAAAGAACTTCTCCAACTAAACAATTAAGAAGAAAAGAAAAAGCAGCTCAATTTAAGAATAGTCAAAGAACTGGCCACAGTGACATATGTCTATAATCACAGCACTTGGTAAGTGAAGCCCTGAGGTTCAAGAGTTCAAGACCAGCTATCAAAAAAGCTCAGTAGATAAAGGTGCTTGCCACCAAGTCTGACACCCAAGGTCAATCCCTAAGCTCCACATAATAGAAGGAGAAAACTCAACTCCCCACAAGTTATTCTCTGACCTCCACATTCATGCTAAGAATAAATAAATTTTTAAAAAGATTTAAAAGCCAGTCTTGGCTGCATAGTAAACCCAAGGCCAGCTTAGACTACATGACACCCTGTATTAAAATTTAAGATAAAAAATGAAAATAAAATTGACGGATATGGAAATCTTCTCAAGAACACATATAAATGGCTAACAAACATACAAAAGGATACTCAACATCACTAGGCATCAGGGAAACGCCAATCAAAACCACAGTAAGACTGTTTTCATGGTGCCTCCTAGATGATCAGCTATGTCAAGATGAAGCTGAGTATCTCCTTCCCAACCACCCAATATCAGAAACTCATTAAATTCTAACTTCATACTTTATGAGAAGAACAGCACCACAGAAGTAGCTGCCAATGCTCTAGGGGAAGAGTGAAAGGGTTATATGGTCCAAATCAGTGGTGGGAACAACAAACAAGGTTTTCCTATGAAGCAAAGCGTCTTTGCTTCAGGGTGTGCCTGCTGTTAAGGGGCATTCTTGTTATAGACCAAGAAGGACTAGAGAGAGGAAAAATATGTCTGTTCACAGATCCATTGTGGGTACCAATCTGAGTATTCTCAATTTGGTTACCAGAGAGAGAGAAGGGGGGGAGGGAGGGAGAGAGTGAGAGTTGGTTACTTAGACTGACAGATACTACTATGCCTTGGTAGGGGGACCCAAAAGAGCTAGAACTAAAAATTTTTCAATCTCTCTAAAAACCATGTCCACCAGTATGCTGTCAGGAAGCCCTAAACAAAGAAATAAGAAGCACAG